GTTAATCCGATAGGTGGCGCAGTAGTCGAGCTGATTGAAAAGCCCGTATTTATATTCCGATTGGGTTCATATTTAGAACGTATATTAACTACATGAAAAGGAATAACTCCACTAGGAATTTTGCCGATAGGTGGCGCACGAGTCGTTATATGTATTTGGTAAGCCAGTATATGTATGTATATGGCCAAATTTTGTTCATATTTAGAAAGCTTCTTTTGATTTTACTATTAATTTATTTTATAGTAGAAAAGCATCATCGATAGGGCGTTTTTGAACCGAATTAGAATGAGATAAGGTGTTTTTCAATAAAATTCTGAAATAGGGCGTTCTGAAAAGTTTTTTGAGATAGAACGTTTTCGAACTGGCAGCCGAGATAGGTCGATCTTCCACTCAACCATCGATATATTCATCAACAACTGATACGTAGCTTTTTTCCTATAAAAGAAATACATTTTAACCGAATATTTAATGCAGTTTACCAACTACCACGATAATATAGTAATCGGTAAACCGATAGCACGAATATTTTACTCAAATTAAATACATGGGAAATATTACCGAGCACCGAGTTACCGAGTAGAACCAGAAACGTCACATTTCAAACAGACATCAGTTGTGACCCCGTATGAGTCCGAACTTACCATTTTTTACCAGAATTTACCAGATTTTACTAGAAATTGACCCCGTACTCGTTTCTCGGGCAACTGAGAGGACAAATAAGAGAGTAAATAAGGTCCTTTCTTCCTTTCAGTTTTAGTCCGAAGATTTTATTGTTGATAAATGTGTCAAACGATCAGCTGCAGTGTGTTTGACAACCAAATTGTAAATAAAAGAAAAGGGCACTTTGCTAATGGTGTTATAAAATGTTGAATTACTTGTTTGAGTGGATTCTAATTAATTTGTAAGTGCTTTTGGTTATTTACATGTGCGAGCTGATTGTGTTTACTTACGAAATAAGCAAAATTTTACAAGTAAAATTTGGATCCCGTACTTTTCAGTGTTACTCTCTCGCCCTGAGCGAATTTTTATTGTGTGACAGTTTTACTAGATTTACAACAGCCTCATTGCGAGAGTCGTGTCGAATGCAAGTCGTTTTACGAGAGTCGTATCGTACCGAATATTTCACACTTGACAGCACTGCATAGTTTTCGACAATTTTCATCGTTTACTTATTTCAGCACGACAGTAGACAATGCCAATGTTGTTAGCCTAATTTACGACTTACGAAATGAAGCTGTTAGTCCGAGGAATACGGGATCAAACCAGTCATTTGACGCAATTAAATTAGTGTTGCCATAGTGACAAAAATCCGCTGAGACTTTTCATATGATCAAATATACATACTACATTTATGGAATTCCTCTTAACGCGAAAACTAAATACTCGAAATTCTTCGAAGTTTTCGAGACTGATTTTGGGAATGCACCTTTTTACAGCATCATAAACCATGGCGAAATTGCGCCATTCATAATATTTTTGACGGTAGTTTTTCGATGGTTTGGAGTTTAAGTTTTTACTCCCAACTTGATCCCGACTCGGTTTTTTTTTTAAATTAATAAATCGACGTTACCGACTCCCTGTTGTATGCATGGAGTCGAAGACGTCGACAACGATGTTTAACCGCAGATTAGTGTTAACCAGACATTGACGAAAAATGACACTGAAGATGGCACAACGCCGAAACCGGTTTGTCTCCAAACCAAATTTGACAAGGGATGACGGAAATTCGTTTCAAAATACATCTTACTTCATATGCTTGATTGAATCATGCTTCATATGTACATATGAACGTAGGAAAATTTTGTTTGAGAAAAAGGAAAAATACATATTTGTTTCCACGGAATAATTTAAGAACTCCTTCGCGGATTTCAGTCCTGTTACCACTCAGCAGGGCTGCCAGACGTCCCGATTGCTCTTAGATGATGGAACCTTTTAGGGACCTGAGCGATTTAGCGGGCATTAAGATAAGGCGATTGCTTAAATTCAACTCAAAGCTTCATATTGGTTAGTATTGGAGCGGGGTGAAAGAGATCCCTTGTGTAGCACAACGGTCTAGATTAAGGACCTAAGTGTGCTGGTGTGTCTACCGGCAGCCACTTAAAACTTTACTAATCTAACCTCCCAGTAGAACTGGGAGCATGTTATAAGGAGTAATCCCCTTTACCTCCTAAACAAGCAATCGGGCAGCACACACATAAATAGCATTCCACATAGCTCCTAAGGCAGCCCTACGAGAGTACTCTCAGAATAGCCTCCCAAAAAGACACAACGAAAAATCCCACTCCCATAAGAGTCATCCTGCAAACCTCCATTACGAGTAATAAAAGGATTCTATACTCCCGAATTCCTCTTCATGGAGTACATGATTCAATAATACAAGGTTGGATAACCTGGCAGTTGTCAGTTTAAATTTCATCCAGCACCATGCGATCAGCTGTTTTTCGTACTGGCAAATTCTTACAAGCAAAAATTTATCCAGTAAAAACTTGCAGCTTCAACTGTCATTTTTCGCTCTCTCAATTTCCCCCACTTTGCAACTTTTGCGTACGAAAACGCCAAATCATGAAAACTCGTAAAAATTTTTACTGGAAATGAGTAAACAAACGCAACTATTTTCTTGTGCTGATTGTGACTGATTGCAGAAAAAAGTACAAAACATTACAAAAAATTAACATTTTTAAAAACGAAATGTAATTAAATTGCGATATTGAAGACATATTTTTGAAGTTTAACCGATATAATGATTAACAAGACTGATTGCAGAACAAAGTAGATAACATTCCACAAAAATTAAATTTTTAAATAACCAAATGTAATTAAATTGCGATATTGAAGATCTAACTTTTAAATGTAACCAATATAATGATTAGCAAGACTTATTGGAGATAAAAGTAGAAAACATATCTAAAAAATTTAATTAAAAAAAACAAATGAAACTCAATTTCAGATATTGAACATGTAATCTTTAAATGCAACAAATATAATAATTTTTAAAAGATTAATTTATATGCATTAAATCAATTGCATCTTTACTATTTGTATAATTCTTCATATAGTCCCTTTGAATAAAAGGATTTGTTTGAATTCCATTAATTTTGTTTAATATATACTGGAATTTCAATGAAACCATGGTTTATTTTGAATATTTGGGAATATTTCTTCAAAGATTTCAAAGATTTTTCTTTGGCAAGAATTTTATGTGAATATCCATTTACATATTTCATTTTTTAATATTTTAATTCATTGTCTATTGTGTAGATCAGTGGAATCTTCTTTATATATTTAATTCAATTTGTATACAAAAACGCATTTCAGCACTACCAGACTACTTACTTTACTTACTTACTTACTACCTTTTCACAAAACGGGATAAAATTGTTACCCGCTTCTCTTTCCTTCTCAAATGCAACCTTACAAGGCAGTCGATTGACACAAATGTCAATATTTATCCAACCTTGTATTATTGAATCATGATGGAGTAGTAGGAGAGTACTACCTCATTGCTCCATAACGAGCCTTTTACATAAGCTAAAAAGATTTTGCTATTTACGCAATCCATTTATTTAATTTTTTTACAGTAATAAATAGATAAAATATGCAAAATAATGCTTACTAAATAATAGTACCGAAAAATTTATGAAAGTTGAAGATTATAAACTTAAAACGGTACGATGAAGGTATGTTTGGGATTCGTATTCACCTGTGAGTCCACAAATGTAACACCTGAATTATGGCGTCTCTCTACGTGACGTACAAGTACCCATTCTGACGGCGTTATTAATGCGTCCGCCACGGACGCAAACGGATTCGTTCTGACGGGCCGCTTTACGGAATAAGCTGCAAGGCAACCGGAACACAAACCAAAAATAATGATTTCGTTTCAAGCAAGTAATTTTTATTCTACTGCTTTCTCAACTGTCGTTTGATTTCATAAAACCATACAGTGCTTTTCAAACCAGTCATGTTAGTTCCGGCAAAGAAATGAAATCAATAAAGCTTTCAAACTGTGTAACAAATTTCCGGTTGTCAACTAATTTGCTTTCATGCGCTCGCTGCTCCGCATAAGTTTTTAACTCCATATTTTAAGGATTACAAGTTTACAAGCATATGTTTTCTCCGTCGGAACCTTACAAATATTAGGGCAAAAATATAAATGGTAGTATGAAAATACATACATACTTATTTAGATTATTTTCGTCAAATATGAAAAACTGAAAACTATGGCAGAAAGCTCGGAAAGGACATTCAACTACAGTTGTCAGCGCACTGTATTTACTTTAATAGATGTGTGTAAGATGTTCGATTAGTGTTGCTGCTTAAAAAGGAAATTAAAATCCAAAACTTTAAAGTAAAAACGTAAAATGCAACAAAGTTCTCCTTCAATTGGGTTGTTTGTAATTGTTGAAGTCTTCGCATCCACAATGTCCATAATTCTTTTGCTGCTATTGTATCGGCACGTTGACCTCAAAGGTTTGTCATCCTGATGAGATGCTAGTCCAAGGCGGATTTCCAGCGAATATGCTACCTTCGCAGTCGCCGTACATGTGTTCAATAAATATTCTGTCTTCCATAAAAGGCAAGTGGTGTGGTGTGTGGTGTGTGGTGATATTTTGATCAAGATTACTAAAAAATTCGAAATCTTTACCGGAACCCCAGTATCTACTTCGGGCCAAGGAATTTTATTGCTATTACAACTTCGGGAAGTAACCTGGCCATTCCTTGTGTTACCAATCTAGCACCAAAAGGCAGGAAACACTATAAAGTCAAATCCCTCGAAAAAATATATCTACAAATTATTTGAACAATGTAGGTTTACACATAAATTATTTAAGGACAAGGGGTTAAAAGTTGAATTTCTTTTAAAACCATAATGCAAAACTAAGACCGATTAGTAGTTTTCTACTCTCAATGCACGAATGTACATACATAGTATGTATGTATGTATATAAAGGAAATTTTTTTTAAATCCGACTAGCACTTTATGTATATGTTTATTCCACACTCAATTGAGCTCCTCCAAAAATAAATTACCATTCGGCTAAAACCACTTTAAAATATTGCATGATCATTTAGACATTTCATCTTTAAAACACCGTTCCATAAACTGCTTTTGATTTTTGCTATAAGTATGCTACATATATCGGTAAATTGTATTCTATTGCATCATCTTCGACGCTTCAGCAGCTTCGTTTTTGTCATGTGATATGGTTATATTCCTAGCCGGCGAAGCTGCAGCTCTAATCTCACATATCGAATCCACTACTTTACTCGAATTCGAACTCTCCAACTTCGGCACTTTAGCATCCATAAATTCATCTTCCTCGGTTTCTGATTCTTCCTTCTGTAAAGAGAAATATAGAGTAATCAGTTTGAGCAGGTTTTGTTGCCGGGTGAACTTCACAGTTTACTTGGCGATCAACTTCCATTAAGTGGTTGTGCAAACTTTTTTTCGGTTATATTAGTACCTAAATTTGACTTGAGATTCGCACATTACATATTACATTTGGCTTAGTCTGAGCAATAACTATAATCAAAGTTATTTTTAATGACAATTTTCATTGGCTTATACAATAATAATTCATTTGTTCGCTTAGCTTTTACAGTGTCACAGTCTTAAATTACCCTTTCCCTGTATTGTGCTACCTCATCAGTTGGAGCATATTTAGGGTAATCCTGCAAGATGGAGGAGAACGTACGTTTATTTACAATTTTACGAAATTAGAAAAATTTTAAATATGCCATAGAATTGGCGCAACAATGGCAATCTAAATAAAGTTTGTAGAATATTAAACAAATATAAAACAGTAATGAATCAAGGTAATTTGGTAAATTAAAAGTTGGGTCCAGTTCAAATTTTTCATAGATGCAAGCTTAAGCTGAACGGGAGTTGAACATATTCGGAAATATTTGCTGATCTAGTAGACTTTAGCATAGCAATATGCGAACAAGTAACTCAAAAGTAGTTAGTAATAGTGAAGCGTGCTATTGTTTTTCACGGCGCACACACCTTTTGAATGTATTGACGACGCGGAGGTATGGACAAATGCAAGACACATGTCGATGCATCGTCAAAGATGCACGGTATGGGTTCCTGGCACACAACGCCGCTCTTCTCCACCTCACAGGCACGGAATAGTATCTGTTTTTTATCTTCCAAAATATGTTTTCGGCAGAATTTGCAGCAAGGCATAGCTCGTTCACCGCATTTAACACCGCCTTCAGTGAAGACACATTTGGTATAACCGGGACCTCTTTGTGTATAGCCCTCTGTGGCGCGGGAACGCTTTTCTTTAAATTTCTTATGGAGCACTGCCTCGACACCATAACGACGGTGATATGTATTGAGTGCCTTAAGCTGATCATAAAGCTGGCGTTCGCGTGGCGTGTCTTTTAGTTGGTCGTGAATGCTACCTAAATAGGGGAATAAAAAAATGAGTGTGGTAAAAATACTTAAATTAACAAATATTAAAGACACCGTCACCTACAAAGCATTTCACGCTCCTTACGCAAGGCAAGTAGATAACGACGACGACGCTCTTTCAATGTGTGATGTAAGCGATTGATTTGGTTGATGTACAATCCTTGCAATTTAGTTAGTTTGGCTTCAGAGATGCGTAAAGCCTCCTCACGCGTATAAATGCCAGCGTGTCTACAAAAATGTTCGAATAGAAAAATAATATTGCATGATTTTTTCAAGTGTAGGACTTGATAAATATCTATAAATTTAGATTTGTTTTAATTCTTTACGAATTGAGTGTATAAAATATATTATTGTATAAGCGTTCTTAAAAAATAAATAAATAAAGAGGCTCAAATGTATCTTTCAAATTACTTCAACATATCCTCAGCTTGTGAATCTACGCTCTCATTGTCCGACTCTATGAAATCAAATCCCCGTGCTGTGTTGTTTATGTTGGGTGGATTATCATCCTCGCTTGAGCTATCCGAAGCGTAATCTAGAATGCGTCGTCTCTTTTGCAAACGAGATGTAACCGAATTCAAGCTTTTGACCTGGTCATATGCAACTATGAAATACATAAGCCGATTAACTACATTTGCTGTAACTTTAAAAAGTGCTTTCTTACCAAATGGGGCCACGTGTGGTGATACAACATCAATTTCTTCATCTTGTTCGCTCATACTTTCTTCTGGCTGCACATCTTCTACATTAACGTGATGTGCCAAGCTGTTCAACAGCACTTCGTTGGTATCGATGCGCTTTAATTTACCCACTATAGTGTGCGTTTTCTGCAGCTGTGCTTGGCGATTATGGTCGAAGCAAAGTGTTGTCAAGGCAGGATCTTTTTTGATGTCATGTTTCTGTAA